ACCGTCTTGGCTCACTGAAATCTCCATCTTCTGTGTTCAAGTGATTCTCACTCCTCAGCATTCCGAATAGCTGGGATTACAGGCATGCACCACCATGCCTGGCTAATTTTGTAATTTTAGTAGAGACAAAGTTTCTCCATGTTGGTCAGGCTGGTCTCAAACTCCCGATCTCAGGTGATCCAACATTTTGTTGAAAGTACGTCTCTTGATTGGAAAGATAATTATTTATATGTACATATATTTAAATAGTTTTCTGAAAGAGAAAAACTGATAAATGTTATTTTTTTGTTCATTTGATACTTGTATCTTTGTCTCATTTTCTCTCTTTTCTTAATTTTTATTTTCGTATGGACATGCTTTCAGTTTTTTTCTTATTTTCTTTTGGGTATCTATACAGCTATTTTCTTTTTTTTTTTTTTTGAGACGGAGTTTCGCTCTTGTTACCCAGGCTGGAGTGCAATGGCGCAATCTTGGCTCACTGCAACCTCCGCCTCCTGGGTTCAGGCAATTCTCCTGCCTCAGCCTCCTGAGTAGCTGGAATGACAGGCATGTGCCACCATGCCCAGCTAATTTTTTGTATTTTTAGTAGAGACGGGGTTTCACCATGTTGACCAGGATGGTCTCGATCTCTCGACCTCGTGATCCACCCGCCTCGGCCTCCCAAAGTGCTGGGATTACAGGCTTGAGCCACCGCGCCCGGCTATACAGCTATTTTCTTAGTGGTACCATGGGGGATTACATAAAGCCTCTTAAAGATCCAACAATACAGCCGGGCACGGTGGCTCAAGCCTGTAATCCCAGCACTTTGGGAGGCTGAGGCGGGTGGATCACGAGGTCGAGAGATCGAGACCATCCTGGTCAACATGGTGAAACCCCGTCTCTACTAAAAGTGCAAAAAATTAGCTGGGCATGGTGGCACGTGCCTGTAATCCCAGCTACTCAGGAGGCTGAGGCAGGAGAATTGCCTGAGCCCAGGAGGCGGAGGTTGCGGTGAGCCGAGATCGCGCCATTGCACTCCAGCCTGGGTAACAAGAGCGAAACTCCGTCTCAAAAAAAAAAAAAAAAAAAAAAAAAAAAAAAAAAAAAGATCCAACAATACATTTTAATGTGGTAAAAAATTAACTTTTTGCATACAAAAATTATTCATCATTATATCTGCCTTCAACTTTGTTATTGGTTTTGCTAATATTTTTATGTTGTATATTCATTAACATGTTTATGATAATTTCTAGTTTTATCTTTTAAATTTTAGAGAATAATTAAAAACATTTTCTGCATCATTATGATGTTAAGAAATTTCATTTTTGTGTATGTGCACATCTTTCCCAGAAAGTAATGTATCTTGATATGATTATGTGTTGTTTTCCTGCATTATATTCTGAACTCCTTTCAGCATCTTTGATATGTAGGGCATATGCAGTGCCAATATACTTCCTAGGATTTGGTTATTGTGGAAGGACTTATTTTTATTTAGTAGTACCATTTTGCTGATGGTGTTATTCATTATTCTTATTTGACAGCTTTTATTTTTGAATTATAACTTTAACAGTATCACATTGTTTCCTTCTCACCTGCAAAATTTTTTTTTTTTAGGAATTCAGTGGTTATGTCATGAGACTGTAAAACCTCATTTTTATCTTGCATCTCCCAAAATTCTCTTATCTGTGATTTTTGAAATTTTGCTTATGTTTTTTGTAAATATATCTGTGTGTGTCCTAGTTTGTTTGTTCAGCTTTTTCATATTTACATCATTTTTTCGTACTTAAAAAATTTTTTAAAGTTATTTTTTGTATTTTTTACATTCAGGTATTGTAACATTTTTTGTTGTTATCCTCATATTTGTGATGTTCAGTAGCTGTCTGTGTTCCTATTTCACTTCTTGAATAGTACTCAATTTATTTTAGTATTATTTATTTATTTATGACACAGAGTCTTACTGTGTCACCCAGGCTGCAGTGCAGTGACACAATCTTGGCTTACTGCAACCTCTGCCTCCCTGATTCAAGTGATTCTCCTGCCTCAGCCTCCTGAGTAGCTGGGATTACAGGAGCCTGCCACCACGCCCAGCTAGTTTTTTGTGTGTTTAGTACAGATGGGATTTCACCATGTTGGCCAGGCTGATCTTGAACTCTTGACTTCAAATGATGTACCCACCTTGGCCTCCCAAAGTGCTGGAATTACAGGCCTGAGCCATCAGTGCTGGCCTATTTTATTTTTGACACAGAGTCTTTCTCTATTGCCCAGGGTGGAGTGCAGTGGCATAGTCTATGCTCACTGCAACCTTCCCCTCCTGGGTTTAAGCAATTCTTGTATGTCAGCCTCCCAAGTAGGTGGGATTACAGGCACATGCCACCACGCCAAGCTAATTTTTGTATTTTTGCATTTTTTTTTTTTTTTTTTTTTTTGAGACGGAGTTTCGCTCTTGTTACCCAGGCTGGAGTGCAATGGCACGATCTTGGCTCACCGCAACCTCCGCCTCCTGGGTTCAGGCAATTCTCCTGCCTCAGCCTCCTAAGTAGCTGGGATTACAGGCACGCGCCACCATGCCCAGCTAATTTTTTGTATTTTTAGTAGAGACGGGGTTTCACCATGTTGACCAGGATGGTCTCGATCTGTTGACCTCGTGATCCACCCGCCTCGGCCTCCCAAAGTGCTGGGATTACAGGCTTGAGCCACTGGGCCCGGCCCAATTTTTGTATTTTTTGTACATACAGGGATTCACCACGTTAGCCAGGCTGTTCTCAAACTTCTGACCTCATGTGATTTTCCCACCTTGTCCTGCCAGTGTGTTGGGATAATAGGAATGTGCCACCAAGCCTGGCCTCTTCCATTTATTTTGAATTTTAAAAATTACTTTATACACTATGGTGGCTTCTGAAAATTTTATAATTTCTTTGATGCGGCGACATTGCTCTAATATGTTGTATACATTGTAATCTTTGACTGAGATTTGGACATTAAAATGTCACCTGTTGCCAGGCGCAGTGGCTCACGCCTGTAATCCCAGCACTTTGGGATGCCGAGGCGGGTGGATCACGAGGTCAAGAGATCAAGACCATCCTGGTCAGAATGGTGAAACCCCGTCTCTACTAAAAATACTAAAAATTAGCTGGGCATGGTGGCACGTGTCTGTAATTGCAGCTACTCAGGAGGCTGAGGCAGGAGAATTGCCTGACCCCAGGAGGTGGAGGTTGGGGTCAGCCGAGATCGCGCCATTGCACCCCAGCCTGGGTAACAAAAGCGAAACTCCATCTCAAGAAAAAAAAAAGTCACCTGTTACAATCTTTACAATATAGCTTTGTCCTTGCATAGTCTGAAATCAATTGTCTTAGCTAGAGATTCTGGGAATTTCTCAAACATGATTTTAGGATGTGTCTTGTCTAAAATTTTGTGTTTATTCAGTTAAATTGGCTTATTCATATTTCTTCTTTCTTTTTTTTTTTTTTTTTTTTTGAGACGGAGTTTCGCTCCTGTTACCCAGGCTGGAGTGCAATGGCGCGATCTCGGCTCACTGCAACCTCCACCTCCTGGGTTCATGCAATTCTCCTGCCTCAGCCTCCTGAGTAGCTGGGATGACAGGCATGCGCCACCATGCCCAGCTAATTTTTTGTATTTTTAGTAGAGACGGGGTTTCACCATGTTGACCAGGATGGTCTCGATCTCTTGAGCTTGTGATCCGCCCGCCTCGGCCTCCCAAAGTGCTGGGATTACAGGCGTGAGCCACTGCGCCCGGCCTCATATTTCTTCTTAATAGTAGTCACTTGCTAATCCATTCCCTGTTTGGGGTACTGCAGTTTCTCTCCTTCTGTAACATTTACCTTTAGACTCAGCAGACTCAAACTGTCATTCCAACGTATATCATCATTTCTTTCAGCATTTTATGTCATGGGAGACATTAACCAGTGTCTAGAAAAGTGCCTAGAAGCCAGAAATAAAGATACATGTGCCAATAATTTTCTTGTTTTTTAAAACAGAAACCAGGAGTTGGCAATTTACATTTGGGCATGTGAGAGAGACAGAGTCTTACTCTGTTACCTAGGCTAGCATGCAGTGGCATGATCTTGGCTCACTACAGTCTCTGCCTCCACAGTTCAAGCAATTCTGCCTCAGCCTCCCAAGTAGCCAGGATAACAGGTACCTGTTACCATGACTGGCTATTTGTGTTTTGTTTTTTTTTTTTTTTTTGAGACGGCGTTTCGCTCTTGTTACCCAGGCTGGAGTGCAATGGCGCCATCTCGGCTCACCGCAACCTCCGCTTCCTGGGTTCAAGCAATTCTCCTGCCTCAGCCTCCCAAGCTGGGATTACTGGCAGGCGCCACCACGCCCAGCTAATTTTTGTATTTTTAGTAGAGACGGGGTTTCACCATGTTGACCAGGATGGTCTCAATCTCTCGACCTCGTGATCCACCCGCCTTGGCCTCCCAAAGTTCTGGGATTACAGGCTTGAGCCACCGCGCCTGGCATGACTGGCTATTTGTTTTTTGTTTGTTTGTTTGTTTGGTTTGTTGTTTTGTTTTTTGTGGGTTTTTTTTTTTTTTGTATTTTTAGTAGAGAAGGGGTTTTTACCATGTTGGTCAGGCTGGTCCCAACTCCTGACCTCAGGTGATCCACCCACCTTGCCCTCCGTAAGTAATGGGATTACAGAAATGAGCCATCATGCCTGGCCAGCACTTTACTTTTAAAGGCACAATGTTATACTAGAGAGCAGAAAGAGCTGTGTTGGGTATAAATAATAGACTTTCTTTTTTCTTCTATGTGGCTCTTCTCACTGTGCTCACCTGGGGGCCCTAAGATAAATTTAATTCATTTATAAATTTTTAAAATGTGTTTTGGACAGTATGTTTTTGCTACATTTATTTCTCCAGAAAGAAATTACAGCTTGTGGTATTTTGCTATGTCATTTTGCTTTTGTAGTTTGTGTAATGTTATAGGTTATGTTTGTAAAGTTTATTTATCTGAGTTTAGCAATTGAAGTAATATGTTTCTATTGTTTCTTTCAGTTATATGTTCACATTTAGCCGAAGATCTTTGGCCAGAGCAGAGCATAAAAGATGCTTTCCAAAAAGTGATACTGAGAAGATGTGAAAAATGTGAACATGACAATTTACAGTTCAAAAAAGACTGTGAAAGCGTGGATGAGTATAAGGTACACAAAAGAGGTTACAATGGACTTAACCAATGTTTGAGAACTACCCAAAGAAAAATATTTCAATGCGACAAATATGTGAAAGCCTTTAATAAATTTTCAAATTCAAATAGACATAAGATAAAACATACTGGAGAAAAACCTTTGAAATATATAGAATGTGGAAAAGCTTTTCATCAGTCCTTAAGCCTTACTACACATAAGGAAATTCATACAGGAGAGAAACCCTACAAATGTGAAGAATGTGGCAAAGCCTTTAAGCAGTTCACCAACCTTACTATACATAAGAAAATTCATACTGGAGAGAAACCCTACAGATGTAGAGAATGTGGCAAAGCTTTTAACCACCCCTCAACCCTTTTTTCACATAAGAAAATTCATACAGGAGAGAAACCATATGAGTGTAATAAATGCGGCAAAGCCTTCATTTCATCCTCAACCCTTACTAAACATGAGATAATTCATACTGGAGAGAAACCCTACAAATGTGAAGAATGCGGAAAGGCTTTTAACCGTTCCTCAAATCTTACTAAACATAAGAGAATTCATACTGGGGATATACCCTACAAATGTGATGAATGTGGCAAAACCTTTCCCTGGTCCTCAAGCCTCACTAAACATAAGAGAGCTCATACTGGAGAGAAACCCTACAAATGTGAAGAATGTGGCAAAGCTTTTACTGCATTCTCAACTCTAACTGAGCATAAGATAATTCATACTGGAGAGAAACCTTACAGATGTGAGAAATGTGGCAAAGCTTTTAACTGGTCCTCAGCCCTTAATAAACATAAGAGAATTCATATTGGACAGAAGCCCTACATAGTGAAGAATGTGGCAAATCTTTTAAATGTTCCTCAACCCTTAATAAACTTAAGATAATTCATACTGGAGAGAAACCCAAAGAATGTGATGAATGTGGGAAAGCCTTTAACAAGCCCTCAACTTTTACTAAATATGAGAATTTATATGGAATATAAACCCTGCAAATATAAAGAATATGACAAAGACTTAAGGAAGTTCTCAACACGTAATTCATGCTTGACAGAAACCCTACAAGCGTGAAGAATGTGGCAAAGCCTATAACAAGTTTAAAAAGTTCTCAATTTTTTTTTTTTTTTGAGATGGAGTTTCCATCTTGTCACCAAGGCTGGGGTGCAATGGCACAGTCTTAGCCACTGCAACCTCTGCCTTCTGGGTTCAAGCCATTCTCCTTCCTCAGCCTCTCAAGTAGCTGGGATTACAGATGTCCACCAGCACACCTGGCTAATTTTTGTATTTTTCGTAGAGACTAGTTTCATCATGTTTGCCAGGCTGGTCTTGAACTCCTGACCTTAGGTGATCCACTGGCTTGGCTTCCTAAAGTGCTGGGATTACAAGTGTGAGCCACTGCACCTGGCCACAAGTTGTCAGTTCTTAAAAGACATGACGATAATTCATGCTGAAGAGAAACTACAAACCTGAAAGATGTGACAGTGCTTTTACCAACACCTACAACTTTTCTATACATTAAAAAAAATACACTAGTGTGAAACCCTATATGGTTTCACAAAGCCTCTATATGGTTGCCACACCGTATTGTAAGTAAGACAATTCATACTGGCAAAACTCTTACAAATGTGAAGAATGTGGCCAAACGTCGTAATCAGTGCTTCCACCTTATTTCACTGGAAAGCTATTATGCTTGAGAAAAATCATACAAATATAAAGAATATGGGTGAGCCATTAATGTCTACTCACATTTTACTTCTGGAGGTCAATCTAGAGGAGCTGCCAAGCTGGATCTTGATGCAGAACTTCACCCCTAGTGGCATTGCCAGAGCATTTTGAAGAGGTTACTACTCATAGTACAAGTATAGGAGCATGAAGAAAGGAAGCATCTCAGGGGTTACCGTGGTCTGCAGCCTGGGTGCTCTTCAGCTATTGCCTTTCCTACAAGGAGCTGAAGCACAAGCTGTTACACAAGTACCACTGAAGAAGAGGATACGTTCTGCATTACCCCCCATGATCTTGCCCCGATCCCCTCCTTAAGGAACACAATCTTGATCATCGCTGAATCCTTTTATATCCTAATGGGAATGAACCTCAAATAAAAAATGACTGGCTAAAAAAAAGGTTCATAGTTAATAAAAGCATTAAAAGTACAATTACTAAAAAAATCTTTCAGAACATGGCCTTTAAAGTGAAGAAGAATATTCTGTAAACAATCATTACAAATGTAAAGGGGGTTATAGTACCTTGACCTGTATCACAGATCTTACTGCACACGATTTGTACTAGAGGAAAACCTTGAAGCAGTTGTTCAACTTTTGTTCAGCCTCAGGGAATTTATATTGGTCAAGAGTCCTGCAAATGCAATTAATTTAGAAACACTGTTTTTTCAAAAACTAAAGCTTAGAAAAGACCAGAGTTTATACTAAAATATATTTTTGCAGATGCAGTAAACATGAAAGAATATTTAATTCAAAATTAATTTTATGTAAACATCAGAGAATTTACAGTCAAATAAGGCACTGACATGTCAGACATTACACTAAATCAGAGTGTTGAGTATAGAAACTAATCCACAACTAAAGTTGTTAAATTATTTGTATATAAATCTAATAAAAGATTTTTTGAAGCATTGTTATTACATTGAAAGTATATGTGTTTCCTTGAAAAAAATTTTTGAAAGCTGAATAACGATGTAATACAGCTTTCAGATTACTTTATGCTGTTATTTTATTCCTATTGTATTCACATGTGAAAGCATGTGATCAACTGTTGCTGCATCAGAAATATTAGAGATGCTTTTTTATTGGGCATTACTTAATGACCTTTTCTATAAAACAGTAAGGATATTAAAATGTAAGATGCAGAATGAAAATATAAGTGAAGAGGCTCTTTGTAGTTAACTCAATTAATGGATAAGGTAGGTGTTCAGAATAACACTTTCCTACATTAGAGTGAAATTAAAAGTACATTAAAATAAACTAGCATATTTTACTAATTGTACTTTTATGTGATAAAATGCAGTACATTTAAAAATTGTTAGATTATGTGTGAACATGATTTTGTTTTTTACCATGTTAAGACTATTTTATTGTGTGTTTAATGAAGCATTATTATGCCACTAACTTTAACCTATCCCACCTTACTCAAGGTTGTAGGTACAAGATGATAGCAATATACTATTTCGTACATAATGGCATAACGTCTCTAGGAATCATGTTGCCAGTGACTTTAAATAAATGAGTTGAAGAATATTGTTCCCTGCCAAGTGTGGTGGCTCACACCTGTAATCCCAGCACGCTGGGAGGCTGAGGCAGGCAGATCACTTGAGGTCAAGAGTTCCAGACCAGCCTGGCCAATATGGTGCAACCCCATCTCTACTAAAAATACAAAAATTAGCTGAGTGAGGTTGCACACATCTGTAATTCCAGCTAATAGGGAGGCTGAGGCATGAGAATCGCTTGAACCTGATAGGCAGAGGTTGCAGTGAGCCAAGATTGCACCACTGCATTCCAGCCTGGATGATAGAGCGAGACTCAGTCTCACCATTACCACCACCAACAAAAAGACCTTGCAAATGTCTGGGTGCGGTGGCTCACCTGTAATCCCAGCACTTTGGGAAGCTGAGGTGGGCAGATCATGAATGAGGTCAGGGGATCGAGACCATCGTGGCCAACATGGTGAAACCCTGTCTCTACTAAAATAAAAGAAAATTAGCTGGGCGTGTTGGCATGCACCTGTTGTCCTAGCTACTCAGGAGGCTGAAGCAAGGGAACCACTTGAACCTGGGCAGCAGAGGATGCCATGAGTCAAGATCATGCCATTGAACTACAGCCTGGGTGACAGAGCAAGACTCAGTCTCAAAAAAAAAAAAAAAATATATATATATATATATATATATATATATTTCCATAGGTGAAATTTTTATTGAAATTTGTTAGTATTTGTGGGTATAGAGTATATGTATATATTTATGCCTTATATGGCATATTTTGATACAGGCAGGTGTTTTTCTGTGCTGGCTTGTTTTACTTAGCATAATACCTTCAGATTCATGAATGTTGGAAATAATGACTTTCTTATTTTTAAGGGCTAAATAGCATTTCATTGTTTGCATATATCACATTTTCTTTCTCCATTCAGTTGCTGATGTACACTTAGGTTGATTCCATACCTTAGGTATTGTGAGTAATACAGTTACTTCCTTCTCTTTTGTTTTTTGTTTTATTTTGTTTTGTTTTTGTTTTTGTATTGCTTGAAATGGAGTCTCATTCTGTTGCCAAGCCGGGGTGCATTGCCACGATCTCGGCTCACCGCAACCTCTGTCTTCCAGGCTCAAGTGATTCTCATACCTTAGCCTCCAAGGAGCTGAGATTACAGGTGTGACCATACCCCCTGGATAATCTTTGTGTTTTTTTGTTTTTGTTTTTGTTTTTGAGACAGAGTATCGCTCTTGTTACCCAGGCTGGAGAGCAATGGCGCGATCTCGGCTCACCACAACCTCTGCCTCCTGGGTTCAAGCAATTCTCCTGCCTCAGCCTCCTGAGTAGTTGGGATTACAGGCACGCGCCACCATGCCCAGCTAATTTTTTGTATGTTTAGTAGAGACGGGGTTTCACCATGTTGACCAGGATGGTCTCGATCTCTTGACCTCATGATCCACCCGCCTCGGCCTCCCAAAGTGCTGGGATTACAGGCTTGAGCCACGGCGCCCGGCCAATCTTTGTATTTTTAATAGAGGCACGCTTTCACCATGTTTACCAGGCAGCCTTTCATTTGTTTGTATATTTTTTTCTTCATTTCTAGAAGCATTTTAATTGTAAAATATAATTTTTTTTTTTTTTTTTTTTTTTTTTTTTTGAGACGGAGTTTCACTCTTGTTACCCAGGCTGGAGTGCAATGGCACGATATTGGCTCACTGCAACCTGCCTCTTGGGTTCAGGCAATTCTCCTGCCTCAGCCTCCTGAGTAGCTGGGATTACAGGCACTTGCTACCATACCCAGCTAATTTTTTGTATTTTTAGTAGAGACGGCGTTTCACCATGTTGACCAGGATGGTCTTGATCTGTTGACCTTGTGATCCACCCACCTCGGCCTCCCAAAGTGCTGGGATTACAGGAGTGAGCCACCGCACCCGGCCGTAAAATAAAAATTTTGACTTAAAAAATCATTTCCCTGTTTTGTTTACTATTATGGCTGATTACAAATTTTTTTTTGAAATTTCCTGGATAAATGTTATTACTTCATTATTAACATAACTTGAGACAATACAGAAGTGAAAATGAACATTTGTTAGTGAAACATCAATTATCTAGCTCCTAGTAGTCATGTAATCTGTTGCTCACTCTTTAGAACTTCCATCAAGATAAGAACTCTTTTCCAAGGGTGTGTGATGTAAAATTACACTCTTGTCTTTTTGTCTTTGTGGCAGAAGTCAGGTATTTATGGTAATGAAAAAGAAGTCAGGGGCCGGGCGCAGTAGCTGGGCCAGGCTTGGTGGCTCACACGTGATCCCAGCACTTTGGGAGGCTGAGGCAGGTGGATCACGAGGTCAAGAGATCAAGACCATTCTGGTCAACATGGTGAAACCCCGTCTCTACTAAAAATACAAAAATTTAGCTGGGCATGGTGGTGCATGCCTGTAATCCCAGCTAGGAGGCTAAGGCAGGAGAATTGCCTGAACCCAGGAGGCGGAGGTTGCAGTGAGCCGAGATTGCGCCATTGCACTCCAGCCTGGGTAATAAGAGTGAAACTCCATCTCAAAAAAAAAAAAAAAAAAAGAAGTTGGTCTCTTTTTAGAAAGCAGATGGTGATGATGGAAGCAAACATAATGGTATGTGGTACTTGACCATATTTCAAATGGATGATACTGAACATTCACCAAAGTACCATACATGGCTCTTATTTTCCAGGTCCAAATCTTCATGAGGAAGGCTCAGCCCACTGGTTTTAAGCATTTCTGTCAGCTCCTAGATAGATGAACAGAACCTCACTGGGCTGGTTTAATGAGACCAGAGTTAAAAACACCCAGGTGGCCGGGCGCAGTGGCTCACGCCTGTAATCCCAGCACTTTGGGAGGCTGAGGCGGGTGAATCACAAGGTCGAGAGATCGAGACCATCCTGGTCAACATGGTGAAACCCCGTCTCTACTAAAAATACAAAAAATTAACTGGGCATGGTGGCGCGTGCCTGTAATCCCAGCTACTCAGGAGGCTGAGGCAGGAGAATTGCCTGAACCCAGGAGGCGGAGGTTGCGGTGAGCCGAGATCGCGCCATTGCACTCCAGCCTGGGTAACAAGAGTGAAACTCTGTCTCAAAAAAAAACAAAAAACAAAACAAACAAACAAAAAAAAACAACAACAACAACAAAAAACACCCAGGTGACAGGTTAGTTTTTACATTTATGGAAAAAATGTGATGTGTGTGGCTTGGTTTGAGTAAATCTTCACTGAGCTAAGTAGTCGATTGAATTTACCTAACCTGTAGGTAAAGAAAACAGAAACAGCCTCGGACCCACTTTGTTTTATAGGCTTCTTTCTGTACATATAAATAGGTGGCTAGATAAATACAGAAACACAAAATGAGTAACGAGCATGTCTACATAATGTTTATCTACCACAAAAAAGAGAAACTTTCAGAAATATAGTATGTCAGATGTCATCTCCATATTATCTAAATAGTGACTGTGGGGGCCGGGCACGGTGGCTCAAGCCTGTAATCCCAGCACTTTGGGAGGCCGAGGCGGGTGGATCACGAGGTCGAGAGTTCAAGACCATCCTGGTCGACATGGTGAAACCCCGTCTCTACTAAAAATACAAAAAATCAGCTGGGCATGGTGGCGCATGCCTGTAATCCCAGCTGCTCAGGAGGCTGAGGCAGGAGAATTGCCTGAACCCAGGAGGCGGAGGTTGCGGTGAGCCGAGATGGTGCCATTGCACTCCAGCCTGGGTAACAAGAGCGAAACTCCGTCTCAAAAAAAAAAAAAAAAAAAAAAAATAGTGACTGTGGCTTTATCAAGGCAGGCCCCAAATAGTGGATGTGAACAGAACATGCACACACTGAGGAATGCAGGGTGCTGCAATACTAAGCTGGACAGATGTGTTACATGGGTTTATTTTCAGCTTATTTCTGCAGCCTTGCCCTTGAAGATAAAGCTTTGTTTATATTTACATAAACAACATTACATGGCTATGTTGCATTTTGACATGTTATTTAGTAGAAGAAAACAGGAATTCTACATCAGCATCTTTAGTGCATGCTAGAAGATTAACAATGTCTTTTGGGGCCAGGTGCTGTGACTCGCTCACGCCTCTAATCCCAGCACTTTGGGAGGCTGAGGCAGGTGAATCACAAGGTCAGGAGTTCAAGACCAGTCTGGCCAAGATGGTGAAACCTCATCTCAACTAAAAATACAAAAATTAACTGTGCGTGGTGGCAGGTGCCTGTAATCCCAGCTACCCCAGAGGCTGAGGCAGAGAATTGCTTGAATCTGGAAGGCAGAAGTTGAGTGAGCAAAGATCACACAACTGCACTCTACACTGGGTGACAGAGCAAGACTCCATCTCAAAAAAAAGTATTTTGGGGAATATGTTGTATACATGAACATTTATATAGATCTATTTATACAATTCTCTATGCGTTTGTCTTCCTATGTGTATTTATATCTAGATGTGTCAATCTTTGTTATTGCTATGCATTGCTATGAGTAGTAAGATAAAAAATAACTTCTGGGCCGGGCACAGTGGCTCATGGCTGTAATTCCAGCACTTTGGGAGTCCGATGTGGGTGGATTACTGGAGGTTAGGGGTTCGAGACCAGCTTGGCCAACATGGTAAAATCTTGTCTCTACTAAAAATACAAAAATAAGGGCCTGGCGTGGTGGCTCAGGCCTGTAATTCCAACACGTTAGGAGGCTGAGGCAGGTGGATCACCTGAGGTCGGGAGTTCGAGACTCACCTGGTGAAACCCCGTCTCTACTAAAAAAAATACAATAATTAGCTGGGCATGGTGGCAGATGCCTGTAATCCCAGCTACTTGGGAAGCTGAGGAAGAAGAATTGCTTGAACCCAGGAGGTGGAGGTTGAAGTGAGCAGAGATCGCACCACTGGACTCCAGCCTGGGCAACAGAGTGAGATTCCACCTAAAAAAAAAAAAAAAAAAAGCTGGGGACAGTGGTGCATGCCTATAATCTCAGCTGCTCCAGAGGCTGAGGTAGGAGAATTGCTTGAGCCCAGGAAGCAGAGTTTGCAGTGAGCTAAGTTTGTGCCATTGCACTCCAGCCTGGGTGACAGATCAAGACACTGTCTCAAAAAAAAAATAACTTCCAGCCAGGCGAAGTGGCTGACGCCTGTAATCCCAGCACTTTGGGAGGCCAAGGTGGGCAGATCACCTGAAGTCAGGATTTCAAGACCAGCCTGACCAACAAACATAGAGGAACCCCATCTCTACTAAAAATAAAAAATTATCCAGGCTTGGTGGCGCATACCTGTAATCCCAGCTACTCGGGAAGCTGAGACAGGAGAATCGCTTGAACCCAGGAGGCAAAGGTTGCTGTGAGCTCAGATGGTGCCACTGCACTCCAGTCTGGGCAACAAAAAACTCCCATCTCAAAAAAAAAAAAATTCATTAAGGTGATGAAAGTCATTTATTGCCATGTCAGTTTTGACCCTTCTATTTCTGTTACACATGGGGCCAAAGTTGAACCAGCCTCAGTCCAAAGTTTCTCACCAAAATCTGAGAATGTTTATTGTTTCTCATTAGGACTTTCATCAAGGCTGGGTACAGTGGCTCATGCCTGTAATCCTAGCACTTTGGGAGGCTCACTCTGTTGCTCAGGCTGAAGTGCAGAGGCGAGATTCTGGCTCCCTGCAGCCTCCGCCTCCCAGGTTCAAACGATTCTCCTGCCTCAGCTTCCGGAGTAGCTGGGATTACAGGCACACGCCACAAGGCCCAGCTGATTCTGTATATTTAGTAGAGAGGGTGTTTCATCATGTTAGCCAAGCTGATCTCTAACTTCCAACCTGTGGTGATCCACTCGCCTCGGTCTCTCAGTGTGCTGGGATTACAGGCATGAGCTACCGCCTGGCACATTTTATTTCTTCTTTTAAAAAAAATTTTTTTTGTTTTGTGTTTCGTTTTGTTTGTTTTGTTTTAAGACGGGGTTTCACCATGTTGGTCAGGCTGGTCTTGAACTCCCGACCTCAGGTGATCCGCCCGCCTTGGCCTCCAAAGTGCTTGGATTATAGGCGTGAGCCACCACGTCCGGCCCTAACACATCTTATTTCTTAGAGGATTGCTTTTCTTTTAAAATCTCAGGCTGCCTACTTAGAAGATCAGAGGCCAGAAAAGTTGTGAAATATTAAATATTAAAATAATTATTATAGTGTTTCCTTTTTTTTTTTTTTTTTTTTTTTCTGAGACGGAGTTTCGCTCTTGTTACCCAGGCTGGAGTGCAATGGCGCGATCTCGGCTCACCGAAACCTCCGCCTCCTGGGTTCAGGCAATTCTGCCTCAGCCTCCTGAGTAGCTGGGATTACAGGCATGCGCCACCATGCCCAGCTAATTTTTTGTATTTTTAGTAGAGACGGGGTTTCACCATATTGACCAGGATGGTCTCGATCTCTTGACTTCGTGATCCACCCGCCTCGGCCTCCCAAAGTGCTGGGATTACAGGCGTGAGCCACCGCGCCCAGCCATAGTGTTTCCATTTATAAACAACATACATATGTGTGTGTATACAATTTATAAGTGGACATAATCTTAAACACAAGATTAAAAAATTACCCCTGGGGAGAACTAAACCCAGCACAGACCGAAAGTCCTTTCTGAAAATGACAGGGGCCAAGAGCCTGTCTGTCATTCTTGCTTCATTCGGTGCACTGTTCGGTCGCATCTTCTGTCACTCAAGGCCTGAGGGCGGGGAATCTGGAGGCCTATCCAATCAAGACGCTGGGATGGAAACCGTCCAATCAGATTCACAGCCAGAGAGGAAGGGGCGGTTCCTGGTATCTGGCGGGGTCTTTGTCTCGCTCCAGCCGGAGCTTGACGTTCTTGCTCTACTGTTCTGTGTCCTCTTACATGGAGGTCTTGGTGATTCTGCCACAGCCTCAGCCTCACCGTCCATCGCTCTGTGACCTACTGGTATTGGAACATTCATAGCTAAGATCCGAGGACACCTCTGAAGCCGCAAAATGGTGGGTATGCGGGGCACGGCATCCGAACACTGGGGAGCCGGCCAGAAATGGCGGTGGCGGGACCGAGTCTGTGGGCCTGAGATCGACGTAGCTCAGCCCTCAGTCTCCTGCCGTGCAGGGACCCCGTGCGTCCTGTCCCGTTTCAGCAAAGCGGCAGCTTTGGCCTCAGCGGCTTGCAGCTGTGCGCCCGCAGCCTCGCATCTTCCCCAGGTTGTGAGGTGATGAGAAGGGCATCAGGGAAAGATGCTGGCTGAGTGTAGGTGTCCTGCGTGGATGGAGCTGTGGTCTGTGGGGTCCCCAGTCCCTACTTCATCCTGTTTAAAAATAAACGGAGGCACCATTAAAGAGTTAATATGAGCAAACAGTGATTAACCAATGGGGTAACTCCCAGACGTGGTTTGTCATTTAGGGACTATCAGGGGGTCTTGAAAAAAAGGCTTTAGCCGGGCGTGGTTGGCTCGTGCCTGTAATCCCAGCACTTTGGGAGGCCGAGGCAGGCGGATCACATGAGGTCAGGAGTTCGAGGCCAGCCTGACCAACATGGAGAAACCTCATCTCTACTAAAAATACAAAATTAGCCGGGCGTGGTCGTGCATGCCAGTCATCCTAGCTACTTGGTAGAGTGAGGTAGGAGAATCGCTTGAACCCCAGCGGGGTAGCTTGCAGTGAGCTGAGATCACACCATTGCACTCCAGCCTGGGCAACAAGAGCGAACCTCCGTCTCAAAAAAAAAAAAAAAAAAAAAAAAAGAAAGAAAGAAAGGAAAAGAAAGAAGAGAAAGAGAAAAGAGAAAAAGAAAGAAAGAAAAGTCTTTAAGGTTTGGGAGGAAGCAAATCAAATTAAAGAATTGATTGGGTGCAGTTATGAAGTTGCTTCATTTGGAGTGTGCAGGAGAAAATTTTCTGGTTATATAATCAGATTAATTGGAGATTTATGGTTGATTAAGACTGAATTTTATTTTCTCCTAAGGTAGTAACTAACAAGATATGGATTCGAGTTATGGATTTGAGTTAGATTTTTGTTGTTGTTGTTGTTGTTGCTACACAGGAACCTAGATCCCTAGAACCACTTCAGTCTAATTACCTGCTATTTAATTATTTTAACTTTAATCAGAGTCACTGTTTTTTTTTTTTTTTTTTTTTTTTTTTAATGAGACAGAGTTTCGCTCTTGTTACCCAGGCTGGAGTGCAATGGTGTGATCTCAGCTCACCGCAACCTCCGCCTCCTGGGTTCAGGCAATTCTCCTGCCTCAGCCTCCTGAGTAGCTGGGATTACAAGCACACGCCTCCATGCCCAGCTAATTTTTTGTATTTTTATTAGAAGTGGGGTTTCACCATGTTGTCTAGGATGGTCTCGATCTCTTGACCTCATGATCCACCCACCTCAGCCTCCCAAAGTGCTGGGATTACAGGCTTGAGCCACCACGCCCGGCTGTTTTTTTTTTTTGTTTGTTTGTTGGTTTGCTTTTTTCTGCGTTTTCCAAATGTGTGTCAAGCAGGGTCTCAAATCCACTACTCTGTTTCTGCCAGCCTAACTTGGCTTGCAGTAAAATCTTAAATTTCCAGTTTCTTTTTAACATTCCCCAAAACCAACTTCTCCCCTCCATTTCACATTATCAACTTTTTCTTTTTTATTGTACTTTTCTATTTGTAAATATTTCATGAGAGGAAAGCAAAAATTAATCCCCTTACATTCCACTGTCAAAAAATCTTTCTTCTTTTTCTTTTTTTATCTTCCCTAGGCACAAATGCTGTATCAGGATATCTTTAAATTTAGGTTTCTGTTTGGAAACTTGATGGAACACAGTTTAGAGTTTCCTCAGCCACATTCTGCTCTTTTTCCAGTCTTGAGTTTTAGGACTGGTTTGAGATAACCCAAGATAAACACAATAGCTATGTCTTTTGGAAGAATATCGGCCCCTTGGTAATCTCTTTCCAGAGGACACCCTGATGTGTGGGAATGTCGCTTCTCAGGAGAGCAGTTGAATGCCCTGAGGCTGAGAGGAATATCCTGGTTTACCCTTTCCATACAAACAGAACCTTTTGGGACTTTAAGGTTTTCTTTCCCCAACTCCAGTTCTTCCTGGTCAGTCAATTGGATGGCTGTATTTAGAGAAAAAGACAAAAATAATGCCTGTTTTCTGAATTCTCTCATATTTGTGAAGGCAGAAAAACAATATTAAAAGACAACAACAACAAAAAACCCTACCACAGGGAGGCAGTGCAAGAATTTGCAAAGCAGAAAAACACCAGGGACACGCAGTAGGGCAAAGTGCAGTGTCTTCTGGGAGGGAGAGCTTTGAGCATGTTATTGAGTAGGTTAAGGATGGGAGAATGTCCCAAGTAATAGGATCGCCTGATTTGACATTTGAGTCAGATATGTGTCTCTTCTGGCCCAGTGCGGTGGCTCACACCTATAATTCCAGCACTTTGGGAGGCCGAGGCAGTCAAATCACGAGGTCAGGAGTTTGAGACCAGCCTGACCAACATGGAGAAACCCTGTCTCTACTAAAAATACAAAAAATTAGCTGGGTGTGGTGGTGGATGCCTGTAGTCTCAGCCACCTGGGAGGCTGAGGCAGGAGAATCACTTGAACCCGGGAGGCAGAGGTTGCAGTGAGCCAAGATCATGCCACTGCACTCCAGCCTGGGCAACAGAGTGAGGCTCCATCTCAAAAAAAAAAAAAAAAGGATATGCATATCTTCCAATAAGCACTGCTGTTCTCTAAGTTTGCCAACTGTTAGGGACAAGCTGCCCCAGAAAACCCCTCAATGCAGCTGACCCCCACCCTGATTGCCCTGCAACCACATTCCTAAACTCTTATCTAGGTGCCACAGCAAGGCTACCAGATGTGCTACCATGAGCAAAGCCTGATTATAGCCATCTGGACAGCATGGGGGAGGTAATAAGAAAAGTACTTGTAAATTTCTGTTTTACACATACATGTAAATTCCTGTTTTTTGTTTTTTTTCAAATTGCTGCCATGAAAGTCACAGGATGATGTATTATAAATTTGTCAAAAGCTGCTAAACTATCTTGGTGCTTGTTACAAGCTGATAGATACCTCCATCCGGAGACTTCCTTAGGACCCTCTCAACCCACATAAACACTTTGATTTTGTAAGCTTGGGGCTGCCTCTTCTGACTGTTATGGAGCAGACTGGCAGGTCAAAAAACTTGCCTGCCTGACTGGGTCTTCTCATCCTTTCTCTCTGTTGACCTTAGATTTTGGTGCCAAAACCCGGAAGTGGGTAGACTCTGGCTGGACACCCTTAGAGGTTTCTCTCTCTCTCTCTCTCTCTCTCTCTCTCTCTCATATATATATATATATATATATATATATATATATATATATGTGTGTGTGTGTGTGTCTGTGTGTGTGTGTGTATATATATATATATACACACATATATATATAGCCTCCCTCCCTTTCCTATTACCTCTCTCCTGCCCACCCTCCCCTTCCCGAACCTGCCAAAGATCTGGAGGATCTCCCAGACTATCCCATTGTTGGTGACCTCATTCACCATCAGAGCCTTTGCTGGGGTGAGTAAGAGAGACTCTTGCAGTTTACCCGGGACCCTTGACCATCTCCGCCTTCCTGAAAGACCCAGCGCTGGGCCAAGAGCTTCCTCCAGCTTCCAGACCTCCAATTCCTCCAGCCTGACTTGGCAGCTACCTCCTCTATTCTGGACAAAGCCCGTTGGACCAGGGATGTCCCCGCTGTCCTTGTCATCAGCAGTATCTTCTTCCTCTACCTCCCTCCCCCATTCACTATGGGAGCCTCTCGGTCTGCCCCTCCCTAAACTATCCCCTTTGGGTGTCTCCTGTGTAATCTCAGTGCCCATGGCCTCTGTTCAGAGGTCCGTTCTAAGAGACATATATTTTACTGCAATACCACTTGGCCTCAATACAAATTAGACAGTGGCTCCCAGTGGCCTGAAAATGGCACTTTTGATTTCAATATACTTAGAGACTTAGACAACTTTTGCCATCACAATGGGAAATGGTCTTATGTTCAGGCTTTCTTCACTCTCCATAGTCATCCTTCTCTCTGCCCACCTTGTTCTACTTTCCAAATCCTCCTCACCCTCTTCAAACCTGACTCATCTCCTGCCACAGTCCCCATAGCCCCAGCAGATGACTCCTCTTTTTTTGACCCTGCCGATTTTCCTCTTCCTTGACCAAATCTTGATTCCCCACTAGAGCATCATGATCCTTCATTGTATGCCCTGCGCTGGCCCTACCACTTTTCCTTGCTCTCTTTAACCACCCTGCTTCTGACTCAGAGACCTCTCCATCCCCACCCCTTACCCACTCGTGAGCCCAACATGCCTAGCAACCAGCTCCCTTGCTTCCCCTCCAGGAGATAGCAGAGACCAAAGGGATCGTCCAAGTCTGCATCCCCTTCTCCCTCTCCAATCTCTCAGTTTGAAAAAAAATCTTGAGTCTTTCTCCTTTGATCCCGATACTTATATCAGAGAATTTAAATATCTCACCTAGTCTTATTAACTCATTTGGCATGATCTCCATATTATCCTCTCTTCTAATCCTCTGGACGAGAAGGAAAGAGTATGGCTTGCAGCCCAGGCATATGCTGATGATCTTCATCGTCAAAATTTTACTAAGCCCATAGAAGCCGCGGCCATCACCCGGGAAGAGCCTTCCTGGGAACACCAACCCACAGACCCCGGCCGGGCATCCTGTAACCATATTATTACTTGCCTTATTGCAGGCCTTAACCAAGCTGCCTATAAGGCTGTGAATTTTGAAAAACTCAAAGAAATTTACCAAAGAGCAGATGAAAATCCTGCCCAATTCCTTGCCCACCTTACAGAGGCCCTCCAAAAATATACTCACGTTAACCCTGACTCCCGAGAAGGAACTGTTTTTCTTTTTTTTCTTTTTTTTTTTTTTTTTGAGACGGAGTTTTGCTCTTGTTACCCAGGCTGGAGTGCAATGGCGCGATCTCGGCTCACCGCAACCTGCGCCTCCTGGGTTCAGGCAATTCTCCTGCCTCAGCCTCCTGAGTAACTGGGATTACAGGCACGTGCCACTATGCCCAGCTAATTTTTTGTATTTTTTTTTTAGTAGAGACGGAGTTTCACCATGTTGACCAGGATGGTTTCGATCTCCTGACCTCGTGATCCACCCGCCTCAGCCTCCCAAAGTGCTGGGATTAC